AGGCATCAGTCCCTTCTCCTCCATCCTCCTCTTGGGATTTTGAGCATGTACGTGCACACGCCCCACGAGATTTTGGAGCCTGGGACTCAAACTGCAATGTCGGTCACATGGGATCCATCCACCTTAACCACCATGCAACCTGGCTGCCCCCATTTTAACCATTTTTAAGTGTTCGATTCGCTGCTGCGTCTTACAGCTGCGTGTGGTTACAAAGCCCCCCACCCCAACTCGGAGCGCATGCTCCACTTCTCCCTCCGTGTGTTCTAGTCTTGAAATCTTAGTCAAATCACCACTCCTGCTTTAGGTTCTGGATAGTTACACAACACACAAACGAAACAGTGGATGGGGCCAGTAGGTGGTGCAGCGGGGAAGGTGCTGGATTCCCATATGGCCCACCGAGGCTCCCGTCCTGGACCTGGCGCCTTGTTTCCTCTCTGTCTCGCTCTGGTGAGCACACACATTCTATAGCAAGTTAAAAAATAATAATGAACAAATAAACCATGGAGATGATGATAATAGGTGAGGAGTAAATGAACTGACATAGGTAAAATGTTACAATGGGGGTCCAGCAGATGGCGTAGTGGTTACATTGCTGGACTCCCACATGGCCGACCATGGTTCAAGTCCCAGACCCAGTGACTGGAAAAATCATGCTGTGTGTGTATGTATGTGTGTGTGTGTGTGTGTGTGTGTATTCCCAAGATACCAGGAAAAGGGATTACAGCGTGGCCATCCCGTGTGGGGCGATTTCTCACTTTCCCTCTCACTGTGTCTGTCTATCTTGCTCACACCCCAAGGCAAAAACAAAATAAAACAAAACAGAAACAAGAAAACATTAGGATGGAGGACCAGCAGGCAAGGCAAAACAAAACAAAACAAAACACATTAGGAAGGAGGACCAGCTGGTGGCATGGTGGTTAAGGCACTAGACACGTTTGATGTGTGTGTGTGTGTGTGTGTGTGTGCGTGCGTGCACATGTGCCCAAAATCCCAAGAAGAGAGGGGAGGAGAAGGGACTGCAGCATGGCCATCCCCCCGGGGGGGATTTCTTGCTTTCTGTCTCTCGCTCGCTGGCGAGCAGATGTGTCCTGTAGCAAAACATCTCAAAAAAGAAAAATCATTTCTCAGCATTTATTATTATAATTGCTTACTATAAATTTAAGTATCTTAACTCCTTATCTTAAAGTAATTGATTTAATTAAAATAATTTATTTATTTTGAGGGGTCGTTAGAAAAATCATGACTTGTTTTTCCC